TCTCTTGTTTATTCACCTAATATTCTCCTAACTTGTGTCTTTGTTTTCTGTCTTCATTCTGTCTTCCACACCAACTCCAGATTGATTTTTCTAAAATACTGTGTAATCTGTTAATATGCTCTCTTGCTTAAAACACTCCAATGATTCCTAATGGTGTTCTACAATAGTTTTTAGCCTGTTTTGCATCATGACCTAATTTGTGAATCTAATGAAAGGGAGTGTTTTTCTCTCCAGAAAAAAAAAAAATGCTCATGCATACAGAATTAGCATACAGTTCATTTATGGATATGGTTAAAATAATTCCTGGCTTATAGGATAAAACCAAGCTTCCTACCATCCCATAGCATACAAGGCATGCCAAATGCTTACTCCTACTGAGCCCCATTCATAACAAATTCCTTAATTTTTGTGTTCTTCCGTGTAGTTTCAAAATGCTTCTGTGCCTTTTCCTGATCTTCTTTACATCTAAAATTCATCCCTCTCCTATTGCCCAGATAGTCCAATTAGTGAATACCTATTCATGTTCCAAGATTGGCTCAGGTTTTTATAAAGCCTTTCCTGATTTCTACTTCCTTTTTTTTCTTCCTCAAAGAGACTTCTCTGTTTCCTCTTTTGGGTGGCTTTCTCCCACTCTGTGGATACTGACTTGTATCATAAAACTTTATTGTTCTATTTGTTTATGTATTTTTGTTTTCCTCTACTTGACTGAAAACTCCTGAGGACAGGTGATTTATCTTAGTCTTATTTGTGCCTCATGCCTATAGAGTACCTTGTATCTTAAGATGCGTATTGAATGAACACAAAAAATTGTCAGAAAGCATTGTCTTATATTTTAGTCGATGTAATTACTAAGTCTATATGTGGACTTTGCAGAATTTTTCTAAACTGTAAATTTAGTCTAAAAATTTTCTAGAAAGTAGTGTATTATAATTGTTAGGGAACTGTCTTAGAAATTTTAAGAAAAGTAGGTTCCAGTTAGGTCTTGGTTGCAAACAACACAAAGTGATTCTAGCATACTTAAGCAGAAAGGAACTTATGGAAAGGGCATTGGATATCTCATAGAATGTATGGGCAGCTGGAAAATTAGGCTTGAGAAATAGGCAGGAAACAAGGGAGACTCTGCTGCATACTCAGCCAGGGTCAGGCCACAGGAATAGAAGAGTTAAGACTCTGTTACTGGATCTGCACTACTGCCTCTGCTGAACTCATACCACTGCCACCTTTTCTGTGAATTACCTTTAAATGTCTTTCCAGAGTCCAAATCCTAGGCAGGGGCCTCTGACTTGGCTAAACCTATCTGAACCCTAGATGCTGTGGACCAGAACAGGAGAGAAAATATCTAGGCCATTTTAGCTTTTGTAGTGGGAGATTTATTTTTTACTAAGATGGACACTGGAGATGCTCTATAGGTAGGAAATTGGGGTCGGATGGCAGGTAGGCAAAAAATGAAATAAAAAGGCGAATGTCAAGACACAGGGAAGAAAGCTATGTGAAAACGGAGACAAGAGTTTGGAGTTATGTCACAGGCAAGGAGTGCCAGAAACAAACATAATCTAAATGGGGCAAGTAAGAATTCTCCCTGAAAGCTTTCAGAGGAAGCCCTGCTGACACCTTGATTTTGGACTTTTTGCTTCTAGATATATGTCAGTAAAATTTCTCTTGATTTAAGCCAAAAAAAAAGGCAAATATTCATTACAGCACTGCTGCTAGCTAACACCTGGTTTATAGGCCTTAGAAAATTTATTTTACTTTTATAGGTTTCTCTTTTTTTATTTGTAAATTTGAAATACTATCATTTCAATATTAAATGCTAACAGTGTAAAAGTATGATCATATATTTTGAGCTATTTGTGAGTAAAGCACCCTGTAAGAACACAAAGCATGTGGCTCTTATTCCTGTGATGTAAGCTGTAATACTTCCCTTTCTTTGGAGTATGTGTTAATAATTTTGAAATAACTTTCTGAAGTTTATAGGAACTTCTAAAGTTGAACAGGGCAGTCCAAAGCCTATTGTTTGATTTATTGGATATTTTGATATAATTTGGTTGCATTGCCCTCCCAGAAGGTAGAAACAATAGGAACTTTTTAATTTTTTTTTTTTTTTTAAGTCGAGGCAACCCTTGGTTGACCTCACAGGTTGCAAGGACCTTGTCAGTTTACAATCCCTTATTTTTTATTTTGTACGCCTGCAGCACCTGGTCTTCCTAGGTGGTCTCCCATCCATGTACTAACCAGGCCCGACCCTGCTTAGCTTCCGTGATCAGATAGGATTGGGCATGTTCAGGGTAGCATGGCTGTAGGCACAATAGAAACTTTTAAATGTTGAACTAATATTTCTTTTGATAGTCTAAGTAAATACTGATATTAATAGCAACCACAAATACATTTTTTACGAAGATGATATTTAACCATTCAAAGCAGATTTTCATGTTATCCTTTTTTATCTCTTTATATAGCCACTGTTATTTTGTGTATTTCAAGCTTTGCATGTGTTTTTTCATTTTTTGTCATTCTCTTAGTTTTGACATTTTTCTTAGTTTGCTTATTTCAGATCTTAAATTTTGTCAAAATTGCCTCTTATTGTTAGTTAACCCGAACCTCTTTTTCTTTTACGGGATATTTCTTGAAATCTTAAAGTAGTCCATATTGTTGTTTTAAGTAGAAAATAGTTGTTTGGAAACCTCTTAACAAGACATTTTGGTTTGAAACGGCTATTAAGATACATAGTAAAGGTCAAAAGTTACAGATTTTCATTTATAAAATAAATCATTCATGGGGCTATCATGTACAGCATGGTGACTATAGTTATAATACTGTATTGCATATTTGAAAGTTGCTAAGAAAGTAGATCTTAAAAAAGAAAAAAGGTACATGGTAGGTAAAACAGCTGCTGAGTCCAGGTGAAGAAGTGAGAGTTGTAGTTTTATTGATTAGGAAACAAGTTAGGATGCCTAATGAAGAGATTCAGAATAAAAACACTTAAATAACAGTCCAGAGGCTAGTGGTCCAGGTTGGCTAGGTGGCTCTGCTCCATATATATGCTCATTCAGGAACCCCGGTTTCTTCTGTCATATTTCTTCACCATCCCTTAAAGCCGTGGGCTTGTTTGCATGTCAAATCTAGGTGTTTGTCATATTCACCCTTCAAACCAAAGAAAGGAGGGAAGAGGAAGTCTTTAAGGAGAGACCCACAAATTGCAGAAGTGCTGATATTCCTGTGGCTGAGACTAATCATATGACACATTAGTTGCAAAGGAGACTTGGAATTATAATCTACAGCTGTGTGGCTATGGACCTAGCTAAAATTTGGGAAGCTTTACTAGTAAAAGAAAAAAGAGAACATATACTATGGTGAGGGTGAGGTGGGAGCATAGCTAGTGTTTTTGCCACGTAAGTGAATATAGAGAAACTACAGAGAGAGAGGAAATTTGCTTTTGATCTTAACTCTGAATAAATAAATTCCCAATTGTAAGTAAATACAAGTTACATTTTTAAGATTACTGAGAAATCTGAGAAATATTTATTTTCTTATTTAGTTGGATAATTGGAATCAATGGGAAAATTTACTGGGATGTTATAAACTTTAAACTGAAAAGATACTTTTATGTTTTTAGGTTTTACACATCTGTTAGCAGACCTTTTTGGATCTCTGCCACCCAACTCAATGGCGTCCTCTACTACTGTGCCTCTAGGATTTCACTATGAAACAAAGTATGTTGTTCTCAGCTACTTGGGACTCCTCTCTCAGGAGAAGCTGCAAGAGCATCTTCCCTCACTCCAAGGTATTATCTTTGGCTTATGGTGGTTATATTAAGTAGTAATAATTACTTCATATGTAAAAGTATATGTATCTAAGTAACTTATATTTATGGTTTATGTGATCAAATAATACTAATCAGCTTTTAAGAAATAACCCCTCTTCTCATCCCCTGAAACATTTCCAGAAGCAACTACTTTGAATGGTTTTTAAGAGCATGTTATTTTAAATGATTGCTCTTGGTACAGGTAAAAATGTACTAAGTACATATAAACAAATTCATCTGTCTTTAGAGAGTTCATAATTAATAAGACATAGAATTGCATAATTATTTACAAATTGCAATGCAATTAACTTCCTTAAATTGCCTTTTTTTCAGGATATAGATTTAAACAATGAATTCTTATATCTGATAGTTTTTAGCGCAATTCTTTGTATTGAGAATTTTTATATATCCTTATTTAAATAGTTTGTCAAACAAAGCTTAGAACACTTGTTGGATTCTGAATCAGTCTTCTTCATTAAGATGTAACATCATCATCTTAAATATTCTTTTCCACAGATTTCTAATACAGCCTTGGAGATAATTCTTATTTATCCTCTGTCATTTTGGCTCAAGAAAGATTAGTGTTGAGAATTCAGAGATGATGGAATCCATTGGCCAATCTAACAGTTAGAGGGATGGCAGAAAGTGTCCTAACAATATTAATTTAAATACTTACGTATAACTAGTGGGTGTGTTCTGTTTTTAAATATTCAATTATATTTTAAGTACCTGAAGGTAGGTTGTTATTTTAAACAAAATTATATCAAAATGACTTTTAAAATTCGTAAAAGAAAATATGATACCAAATATCTGATTTATTATTTCACCTAACACACAGCAACCATTTTATTTTCTATTATCCTCTAATCTTTTATCAGTATACACAGTTTTTCCATAGTTGTAGTCAGTTATTTGTGATTTTTTTCACTCTATTTTATCTTAAATCATGTTCACATGTTTTCTGTATTTCATCTCCTTTATTTTTCCAATTTTTTTTTTTAATCAATAGCACTGCTATATAATTTTTGGTGTACCATAAAGCCTTTTTATTCTTGCTCACTAACACTGGTAGTAGGACTTTACTTGACAGAGTCAGAGAGGGAGTAAAGAGGTTATTATAAGAAATTTTAGTTTAAAATGTTAATAAATGAACATTTACTTAGCAATTTTGATGTAGGGCCAAGGCATTTTTTTTTAACATTTTATTTTTTATTTTTTTTCCCCTACTCTCTCCCCTCCAAGGCATTTTTTTGAATATGAGTCTGTTTAGAATTCTATGTCATCTTTCTAGCATAAGCCAACCATATCTATTACCTTTAGTTTCCAATTTATATTTATTTAAAATAGAATGAGAACATAAAGACCCTTATAAAATAATCTGATTAAAAAGTCATTCTAGGTTTTTATGATTCCCCAACCCCTCATTCTTTTATAGTTGTTTCTCTCACCCTTAATCTGAAATGGCATTTTTAAAGCAACTTCCCAAAACATTTAATTTAGCTTTCATAGAAATATGAAGTCTCTTTGCACAATCATATTTTAATGATGTCTATGATTTTAAATTATACAATTTCAGCAGCAAGTATAACTTCATAAACAGGTTGGGAGAAAAATAACTGACTCTTGGTAAGCATATAGCTTATGCAAGTATGCTAGAAAGTAGTCTACTAGCTGCATGTGTTCAGCTAGCTGTGGGCATATTCAGTATGTTTTATAGTGAGACTGTAGTACGTCTCTTAATTCAATAAATTACTTCATGGAAGTTAGTTAAGAGTACTTCTGTATATTGCTTTTTTAAAAAATCATTTGCTTTTGCTAAGTTATTTAGAGTCAACCTACCGAATCAAAGAGCAATACTCTTTTTATGAGGAATTGCCATTTAAAATATGTGGCCTATAGATGGTCATACTATGTAGCATATCTTTATAAATGTTTGTACATTGTCTTAAAAACTAGTTATAACTTCTGAAATGCTGGATCTCATTGTTCTATTTAGACTCAGCAAGCATCTACCATAATAGACTTACTGGGAGGCCAACCAAGTGGTTGCATTGGTAGTGATTAATACATAAATGGTTAGAATGCCTGAGGTAGAGACTGTCTGTACAACAATTCAGTTTGGGAGGAAGATTCTGGAAATTAATTTTATGAAATACATGTGGTTTTTATACTCAACCCCCTAGAACTCCATAGGTGCCCAAAGTAGACATCAAGACTCAGTTGATTAGAGCAAGATAGCTTATTACTTTAGCTCAGCAAACACCAAGAGTGTTACCATGGTAGCACTAATTCCCCTGCTTCCAAATACCACAGGGTAATTTGATGAGCCAAATTGATGGCATTTCATATAGTAGGTTGTACCCAGTTCCCCTCTCCCAAAGAGCGAGCAATTACATTGTAGTCATTTTGACCTACCCAAAGTAAATCATTTTCCCTTTGAGAAGCTCTAGAAATGGCTCGGAGTCAGAGGACAGCTAAGTCTTCAATTTTTCACAGTGAGCAAGGACATACAGGGATGCCTGGGGCTCATTGCAGGCTACCACTCCTAATAGTCTACTCCTCAAGATTAAATGTGGTGACATTCAATGAAATCCATTCAGTTGGTCTCATATAACACTTGATTAAAACTATTAACAGAATTTAAATTAGCAAGATGAAGCCATTCTGCAGTATTGATCTCAGCTCTCTACCTAAGGACCCCAGATTCAGCCAGGTGAATAAGTCCCAGAGGAGGACTAGTAGGTCTTTTTTTTCAGATAACCACTTAGTTTCCTTTGCTTAACATGTATGTATAGATTGTTTCAACTAACTAATAGCATTAATCCAACTCAACAGGAAGTGTCGGCAACCGTACATGTTCAGACAGGATGTAGTCCAAGACCAGTCTATTACCCATTATAATCCATGCAAAGACATTTAAATTGATCTGCTGATCTTCTAGGGTTTGTGCCATCTCATTGGCTGTGGTAGCCAAAGTAAAGGATAGGTTTCTGATTATTATCTATGGGGCATGAACTCCAATACCAGGGAACAATACTTACTTTGCTATATGGAACCAGAAGTCAGTGTATCCTTGGGTAGGACAGCCTTTTTTACCTAGGGACCCAAAAATGGGAATGCAGTCCAAGAGGTGGTTTCATTCTCTCTTCAAAATATTATCTAAGGCAGGGTAGCAGGGCTTGTAATTTTAGTAACATTTCAAGTCTGCAGTGAAAGCTAATTTCCGAAGCTATTTATTATTTGGTAATAGTGGTTGAGGGTGGTTCTTCTTGTGCAGAAAAATTTCAGTTTCGTTTTTGAGCTAGAAAAATTGCAATAAAACACTACGACTGCTTAGCCATTGAACTACTGTATGATAGGGTATGTCAGGATATCTTCAATTTCTGACAAAAATTCATGGAACTTAACAATGATTAAGTCCATGACAGCAAATAAAGTTCACTGTTGAAACTTCTGTTCATTGATACAAGATAGATTCAAATATTTTCCTATAGATCCTATAGATGAGTACTACAGTGAATAACCATAGGTTTTAAATATTTTGAATTTTTGCAATCTTTGTAAATTTGTCTAATTTTTTTGCTTCACACATATTTTTGCCACTATCAATACCACATCTTAGCAGATTCCACTTTGGGTTGTAGTGAATTAGTGTTTCCCCAATTTCTTTGAAAATATTTCCACTTGTAATTATTCTACGTAAGCTATGCCAGTTCTTCAGACACTTCAAGCTCTGCATTGACTCAAATAAACAACGCATGAGCAGTTTTCAGACATCTGTCACTGCATCGAGAGCCAAGGAAAGCCACTCAAAATTTCTTGCCTTGTATTTCAGTTGACTGTTGATATTGTTCCCATTGTCTTCAACTCATTGAGCAGCTGATCTGTCCAAAAAACTAATAAGCTTTTGTTTTATCTGGACACTTTTCTTCAGTTGCTGCAATTGGATGTGATCTAATTAACTCAACATCCCTAAATAGCTTTCTTTGCTAACAATTGAGCCACCTAGAAACTTTTTGGTCGCAGCCTCATTTTCATTTTCTTTCTTTTTTTTTTTTTTTGAAAAAATAATTAATTTTATACCACTGTAAATACTCAAAATACATGTTTTATCTGCAAGATAGTTGGGTAACTCATGTGCTTGTGTGCAGGTTGGGTGTGTTTTGTTGAGTTTTAGATGTTCAGCTTATTATTTCAAGGGGAGAGATCTGGGGACATCTCTCATTCCGCCACATTTCTGATGTCCTTCATTTTCATTTTTATGAAGAAATTCTGTGAGATGTTCCATTTTAAATTTCTTAATTTTTCTGATTGTTGCTTTTCCTGTGAGTTGGGAATATTGTGATGAGTGCTTTATAGTCTGGCGATATCAATGCATATTTTGTTCTTTTAGCATAGCTATAATGTCATTGCACAATAAACACAATACTTTGCCATCTAATTTGATAACAAAATAATCTATATTCCATTGTGTCTTAAAAGCAGAATGTGCAAGCCCACTTCTACTTTTCTTGTTTTACACGATGGGTACGTATAGGGAAATTTAAAATTGTGGTATGGCAATATACGCGGCAACTGAAATGCTGTGTAGTTATAATTGTGTCACTGCAATTTGTAGTGTGTTGAGCAGCAGTGTGAAGTTACGAGAGCACCACACAAGTCTCTTGAGCCTACTCATCTCTACCATTGTAGCATAAAACAACCATAAATAATACATGAATGAATGAGTATGGCTATATTCCAATTAAATTTTTGTTTATGAAAATTGAATTTCCTATAATTTTTACGTGTCATGAAATACTAATCTTTTGATTTTTTTCAACCATTTAAAAAGGTAAAGATCATTCTTAGCTCGTGGGCTGTACAAAAGCATGCAGTGGGCCAGTTTGCCCTATGGGTCGTATAGTTTGCTGATATTATTACATCTGATATTATTACATCAGTGCAAGGAACATTATTTTTCTCATTATTATTAAGGA